GGTTACTTTTAAGCTCTAGAATTTGGACAAACTTTATTAAAGTTCTTCAATATAAAAAACCGTGATTCTATATTAGACAAATAATTTTTAGGAAAAAAAAATTTTCTTTAATTTCCGGTGAGCAGTGGTCTTAGAAATTTAAACGAAAAACAAATTCAATTGTAAAACCCCTTTCTTGGGACCAGGAAATTCTAAAGCAATTTCTTTGGTAAATCAAAATGAGGAAGGATTTGGAAAAAGTCGAGAAAAATCGCAAACTGCCGTCTAAAGAAAATTTTTTGGAAAGATTTCATGCTAGAGGGACGAAGTGTACACCACGTACACCACGTGCACAGAAGAAGAGAAGGCAAAAAAAATTTGGTTTATAAATAAACAAAGTAAAAAATTGCAGTAATTTGATACTTCTTACCTTCATGAAATTATTGGTTATCTTCAGTTGCCGCGAAGGTGATTGTGTAGGATATTTCCACTGGGATAAGTACACTGTTGTCGATAATAATTTTCTTGGAAGCCATGTTGTTTTCAAAGTGAAAAATTTTGTTGGCACATGCCTTGCTGGGCATGATGGGAAGGAAAGTCTCCTCCGTAGGAGAAAATATGAATATTGAAACAAATCGAGTGGTTTGAGGGCAAGTGAAAATTAATCCCACCGAATTTTTTAAGCTGGAAATATTTCCTATCAAAATTTTCAAACGCTAGAAAAATCTCGTTTTTAATTTTAAACTATAATTAAACTATATTAATTTTTGCTAAAACTAGCGTTTGTAAACGAAAATCTCTTAGAATTCTTAACAAAATTCGGGAAAACTTCACATGATGTCACGAGACAATGTATCTCAGATGTTTTTTTGAGGTCTAGGGCAAAGTTTCAGTCTTGACCCCCATATTGAAGCTTTACAAACAGGTAAAAACATCCCTTTGTTCTTGAAAAACCTTTGAAAGTGTGAAAACAAACTAGAACCTTTGAAATGTAAATTGACACCATTATTAACTTAATACCGGATGAAGACTATCTAAAAATTAACAAGACTATTTGTAACAAATCAGAACAGAATCCAATTGAAAACAATGTTTTCTATTAAATGCATAGTTTTTGAATTTTAATCACAATTTCTTTCTCTGACGTTATTTGCCTGATAATTTCCAAAGCTATTATTTGCATAAAACATGACGAGACATTCTTTAAGAATAAGAAAAAAATTCCAACCATCAAGATGATCAAAATGTTTTAAAGATAGCAGTGGTGGTGACACAGACTCGGATTCACAATTTATTCAGTCCTGCAAGATAAAAGGCTTTTTTGTCTTTTTTGTATAAGAGAGTGTATCATATGCTGGCTTATGGCGAATTTGTACGTAAATTGCGCAAAACATATAAACAATATGGAAAAAGGTTGAAGAAATTATAGTCAAAAGGAAAGAAGTAACAAACCGAATGAAAACTTTAAGAGAAAACTGAATGGGTTTTAATAAATTTTATTGAGTTTTAATAATTTTGGTCACAAAAGAAAATGGGGTCCATCCACCATAATGTACCGAGGCAATTCTAGCGTGCAATTCATTACCTCAAACGGTCTTTTGACGCTATTTGAAAAACACTTTAAATTTATTGCATAAAATTGGTAGCAAAGGGTCTTATTTTAAGACCCAAAGGTACCAAAATCAAGAACACCCTTGAACGTCTCCGAAAGTTAAAATGACGTACAGAAGCAATTCTAGCGTGCAATTCATTACTTAAAACGGTCTTTTGATGCTATTTGAAAAAGACTTTAAATTTATTGCATAAAATTGGTAGCAAATGGTTTTATTTTAAGACCCAAAGGTACCAAAATCAAGAACACCCTCAAACGTCTCCGATAGTTAAAATAACGTACAGAGGCAATTCTAGCGTGCAATTCATTACTTAAAACGGTCTTTTGATGCTATTTGAAAAAGACTTTAAATTTATTGCATAAAATTGGTAGCAAATAGTCTTATTTTAAGACCCAAAGGTACCAAAATCAAGAACACCCTCAAACGTCTCCGATAGTTAAAATGACGTACCGAGGCAATTCTAGCGTGCCATTATTACTTAAAACGGTCATTTGACGCTATTTGAAAAAGACTTCAAATTTATTGCATAAAAATGGTAGCAAAGGGTCTTATTTTAAGACCCAAAGGTACCAAAATCAAGAACACCCTCAAACGTCTCCGATAGTTAAAATGACGTACCGAGGCAATTCTAGCGAGCAATTCATTACTTAAAACGGTCATTTGACGCTATTTGAAAAAGACTTTAAATTTATTGCATAAAATTGGTAGCAAAGGGTCTTATTTTAAGACCCAAAGGTACCAAAATCGAGAACACCCTTAAACGTTTCCGAATATTAAAGTGACGTACCGAGGCAATTCTAGCGTGCAATTCATTACTTAAATCGGTCATTTGACGCTTTTTGAAAAAGACTTTAAACTTATTGCACAAAATTGGTAGCAAAGGGTCTTATTTTAAGACCCAAAAGTACCAAAATCAAGAACACCCTTAAACGTCTCCGAATGTTAAAATGACCTATCAAGGCAATTCTAGCGTGCAATTCATAACCTAAAATGGTTATTTGACGCTATTTGAAAAAGACTTTAAATTTATTGCATAAAATTGGTAGCAAAGGGTCTTATTTTAAGACCCAAAGATACCAAAATCAAGAACACCCTTAAACGTCTCCGAATGTTAAAATGACCTATCAAGGCAATCTTAGCGTGCAATTTGTTACTTAAAACGGTTTTTTGATGCTATTTGAGAAAGACTTTAAATTTATTGCATAAAATTGGTAGCAAAGGGTCTTATTTTAAGACCCAAAGGTACCAAAATCAAGAAAACCTTAAACGTCTCCGAATTTCAAATTGACCTATCAAGGCAATTCTAGCGTGCAATTCATAACCTAAAATGGTCTTTTGACGCTTTTTGAAAAAGACTTTAAATTTATTGCATAAAATTGGTAGAAAGGGTCTTATTTTAAGACCCAAAGGTACCAAAATCAAGAACACCCTTAAACGTCTCCGAATATTAAAATGACCTATCAAGGCAATTCTAGCGTGCAATTCATAACCTAAAATGGTCTTTTGACGCTATTTGAAAAAGACTTTAAATTTATTGCATACAATTGGTAGAAAGGGTCTTATTTTAAGACCCAAAGGTACCAAAATCAAGAACACCCTTAAACGTCTCCGAATGTTAAAATGACCTATCAAGGCAATTCTAGCGTGCAATTCATAACCTAAAACGGTCTTTTGACGCTATTTGAAAAAGACTTTAAACTTATTGCATAAAATTGGTAGCCAAATGTCTTATTTTTTCATCTTTACCATACCAATATGGAAGGCTTGATAAACTGACCCTACCATTTATTCCAATATCATTGGATTTTTGACATTCTCTTGACAATAGACACAGCACCCCCCTTCCCCCCTCCTTGAAAAAAATGGATTTGCTGATTTTTCTTAACACAAATTTGCTATTATCGGAGTCGCGGAGGAGCAATTGCCTGTGAACTCCCAAGAGACACTTCTCCCGCTTATATTTTTAATTGTTGGTTTCCCCTTTGGACTACCTGTGGTTCATTCAAATTGAATTTCCCTTGAGTATCCCAGGTTTTCGTAGAACATAAATAAGCAATCCATTTGCTTTATAATCAATATTCTGAATTATAAACCAGATATTAAGTATGATGCATAACAAAGTTTTGATGATGCTAATGGAAACTTGAGGATAATATCGTTCGCTCTGGCATTCTGCAATGAATTCGGCAATTCTTTCGCTGGTTTATACAATCCAAGATGGCCTACTTGATGGTGCTCTATTGTGACTTCAGCTAGATTTATAAATCAACTAAATCTCTAAACTTCTCAACTTTGTTCGATACTGGATTTTGTATTGCACCGTAAAGCTTCGACAAATAGAAGACATTCGATGCCTGGACGCAGAGGTAGAGGACGCAGGCTGATTGCGTTCAATTGAGGTAATCGAATATGTTCTCTTATTTCCTTTCAAAGTGTTGCTTTTATCTTACCTTATCAGAAAGTAGATACGACATCTTCAAGACTGTTCTTCTTAACGTCAAGCGAATAAGCTTTGTTGAATAATTTTGATAGGGTTATAATTTTAATTTTTCTGCAACTTCGATAAATACGCAGTCGATCAGCCGGCTGTAAAGAAAACCTGTTTTCAGAGAGCAAACTTAGAATTCGTTTGGTTAAAGCTTTGATTGCAATATATGTGGAAACGTCATTTGACCAGGGACGGATCCAGGATTTTTGGTGATTATAGCTCAAATTTTTTGGGATCGGGACCACACCCTCCTTGCTTGTGGGACACGCCCACTATATGGGCAAATGATAAAACCATGTGTGCTTATAGTTGCTTCGTATTCATAAATATTCCTTCGAACATCCTTTTTCTATCTACAGGGACGCCAGAGAAGGGGGTGTAGGGGTACAACCGCCCCTGTTGCCTTTTGAAAGAGGGGGTAAGAGTTGTTTTTAATAAAGTTCCCTTGAAACTGGCCAATTGTAATAATCAGAGAGATTCATATGAAATTCTGAACTTCTCAAAACATGTAAAATAATTCCTTGTGCCGAAAATTAGCCAATGTTGAAGATACCTACAGATAATAAAATTGCAGTCACGTGTGAATTTGTAGAAGCTGAGAATTATCTATCAAAAGCCCTTTAACTCGAGCCTGCCCCCCTCTCTTGCCGCTTGGTCGTTCCGCCGTCGCTGTCGATTCCCTAGTAGGTTCTTGCCTTTGAAGCTACAAGGGACCCAGGATGTGAAGACGAGTTATAGTCCACTGTTGCTTTACAGGGGGCAGAGAGCGGAGATATACCGTGGATACTCATATTCTATTGGTTAAAAAGCCATTTTCAAACCTGACTATAGCTTCACTATAGCTCGCGCCAAAAATTATAGTACGAGTTTCATTGTCTTCGATGCCTTTTTTTCCAGAGCAAATCCGGAGAGGCATAGTGATGACCAGTGGCGGCTCGTGACTTTCACAGTTGGGAGGGCAGACCATCAATATTGCGATAATCGATAGAAGATCGACTTTGCAAATTTTTCACTGTATTCATGGTTTGATGTTGATCGTCATGGAGCGCAGAAGAAAAAGCATAAATAGATGTGGTTGTTGTTTAGCGATGATGTCATTTTACGGGCAAAATTTTTCTTGCTCCGAATCCAAATAAGCCAATCACAGACGGCGTTTTGCAATGCTCGAGGTCAAAACTTAGCTTGTGCGCATGTCGGCTAGGGGCAAAAAAAACTTTGCCCGTAAAATGACATCATCGCTCAAGGCACTAGCGGGCCAGAAGCGAGGCTAAGGACCAGACGGGATAGCAAGGAGCTTTTTCTAGAAGAGATACAAACTTATATAATTAACCACAGTAAGACTATCTTTAAAATTAAATATGAATATCATAGATTTCCTTTGAATCTTTTCGAGGGTGCATGGCCCCAGATGCCCATTAGCAAGAGCCGCCAGCATTGCATGTTTGTTAATAATTTGATAACCTATACCGCTGCTTTCAAATGTTGAGAGGCTTGATAGCAGAGGAAAAATTAACACTTAACTTTGAATTCCGAAAATCAAACACGGAGATTTTGACTATAGCTCGAGCTACAGTTGCTATAGTCTGGATCCGCTCCTGATTTGACCCTATACATTGAATGCAAAACCCCAGTATTATTTCAGGAGAATTAAAATTCCTTAAATACTTTTACATTGAATTGCGATGTAGTGCTTAGATTTTCTCGCCTCAATCTACTGAAACAAAATTTTTTCGAGGTCGATCTGATTGACTTTCTATTTTGTTTTTCTTATTATAATATCTGTGAATCATTGGTCATGATCTACAACTCCCCCCCCCCCTACGAACACCCCGACCCGGAAGGAAAATGGAATGGTTGCATACTCCAGTCCCATAGTGAATCTACGTCACTTCTTTTGATTCAATCCAAGTAAAGAATTGGAATGCCGGATAAAGTAGTATTTGCTATGATCGTCATAACCAGTATCGTTCCAAGAGTTGAAATCATATGTTCTAAAGAAAAAGAAGCCCTCCTCCTTATCTAAGAGGGGATATAGTGAAGGGGCTATATAGCCTCGCCTAATCAATCAACAAGGGTAAAATCAATCAGAACGATATTTAGCTACCCTTACCCTCTGGTAATGAGAAGATTTTTGGTGAACAGCGAATGCCTGCTGCGTTTACAAATTATTGACATTTTCCTAAGCACGGTATTAAGATCAATTTTGAATCACCTGCACTGCAGCCTGAACTCTATCCATACTTACTCTACATCGAGTAACATGAATCTAAGTAAATTCTTACCTTAGATAGATAGAAAAGATGATTTATAATCGTGTCCCTTTTACTTTTGAAAGAAACTTTGTAGTCTCTGCCCTTTGTATCTTAGGCTAACTTTATCTTTGAACTATTTGTATAAGACTCTAAGTTTGAATTTTCAAAAGTTTATGTTTCTCGTTGGATTCTTCCATTGAAAGAAAGCATTGCTTGTTCTGCCATATTTTCCTTGGATGTTTCCATCCATAATCTAATCTAAGTAAACTGTTACCCTTGATAGATAAAGTCGAAGATTCACCATCGTGTCCTTCCTACGTTCTGAAAGAAGGTTTGTTGACTCTACCCTTTATACCTTTGACTAAATTTATTTTGGAAGTATTCTGATTCAACTCTAAATTTGAATTCTAAAAGATTAATACTACAGCAAATTTAAGAACGGTCTTTCCCTTTATTGATAAAGTCAACGACTTTCCGTCGTGTCTCTTCTGCGTTTTAAAACAAGGTTTTTGTTCCTGTCTCTTGTACTTTTGGCTAAATTTATCTTTAAAATATTCTGATTAAACATTTACTTTGAAGTAAATAACGTTTACTTTTCTCGATGATGTCTCTCCATTGATAGACAGCAATGCTTGTTATGCCATTAATTCCTTGGATTTTTCAATCTTCAATCTAATCGAAGAAAAATCTTACCCTATATTGAAAAGTCGATGACTGTCCATCGTGTCTCTTCTGCGTTGTGAAACAAGCTTCTTGTCCCTGTCTTTTGTACTTTTGGCTAAACTCCTTTTTAATTATACTGATTAAAATCTAACATTTAAATTGATAAAGTTTATGTTTCTCGTTATTCTCTCTCAATTAATAGACAGCAAAGCTTGTCATGCCATTATTTCCCGGGATTTTTAAATGCTTAACCTAATCTTCGTGAACTCTTATGTTAGACCGAAAAAGTCGACGACTTTCCATCGTGTCTGTTCTGCGTTTAAAAACAAGGTTTTCGTTTCTGTCTCTTGTACTGTTGGCTAAATGTATCTTTGAATAATACTGATTAGACTCTTACCTTTTATTAGATCAAGTTTATGTTTCTCGTTGGTCTCTCTCAATTAATAGACAGCAATGCTTGTTGTGCCATTGATTCCTTGGATGTTTCAGTTCTTTATCTAATCTAAGTATGGTCTTACCCCCTATTGATAAAGTCAATCTCTCTCCATATTGTCTCTTCTGCGTTTTGAAACAAGGTTTTTGTTCCTGTCCCCTTTACTTTTGACTAAACGTATCTTTGAATAATTCTGATTAAAGTCTTACTTTCAAATTATGTGTCTCGTTGGTCTATTTCAATTAATAGACAGCAATGCTTCTCGTAACATTATTTCCTGGGATGTTTCAATCCTTAACGTAGTCTTTGTAAACTCTTACGTTAGACCGAAAAAAGTCGATGAATGTCCATCGTGTCCTTTCTACGTTTTGAAGTTCATCGTTTGATGTTCATTAAATCGTTATAGTTACATATGAATGCATTACAAAACTTTCCTTCCGTCTGCAGATAATGTAGCAACTAATTCTTTACATCATTTTTGGCTGTAGCCTTTAATAAAGGGCGTGTCTGTGTGGCTTTCTTATTTTGGCTCCCTCACTTCTGATCTGCTTCATACGTAGCTTGATGTAGGACACAGCTGCATAATGTTTTGTGGATTTTAAGGCTTTGACTAAAATATTGAAAGTTTGGGAAAAATTTAGGACAAAATCCTGACTTGTTTAATTTCCTCCGAATTCTTCCAAACTAAGGCTGTAATGTGATGCCAATGATTAAAGTCCAATGCAAAACATTATGCGTTACTTTTAATTACCATGACATTACCTCTACTAATGCTACTTTTGCAAGAAATTTGAAGATATCCTCTTAGCAACGATACTACCCTTTTTTATGAAAACCTCCTCTCTTAGCTCTTTTGAATCAATGTCATTTTTTGGCAATTCAGTTTTGAAAACAAAATTTTGTTGCTTTTTAGAACTTTGAAAAAATGTTAACAATGAAAAAGCCATCTATAATTTCGATACTTTGATTGAAACGACTTTTTGATTTCAGACTTTCTCGATAACGTTCTCCAGATCTCTTTTAATCATAAACAGTTTGTTTGGTTTCTTCGGTCCTTCAGGTCTTGCTTTTGCTCAGGACTCTGTTCTTTGGGACAAAATTAAAGAAAATTGCATTTTCGTGAACTTTATTGAAATATCTTTTCAACTACTTCCAATGTTTTTTTTGTTAAAATCCTAGGACTCACAAATTCCTCTTCAAAGCTCCATCAATGTAGCCAGTTGATGCCTTGAACAACTAGAAATTGGATATGAATGGGATCTGGACTAAAACCTTCATAAAAACTTGTATGACTTTTGCAGGTATGTCGGTTCCCTTTCCTTTAAATTCCAAAATTACAAACTTAAATAGCGTGGATCATTCTGCATTTATTCTAAACTGCAGACCTTTTATTCCGAAGTGCAGACATTACATTTTTTTGAAAATTTTATTTTAGAACTACCATTATAATTCAAAAATCATATTTTCCTTGAGAATTAAATCCTGTTCATGACTTACTTTACGTTGCTTTTGATAAAAAGTTTCTTAATTTTGTAAGCTTTGTAAAAACATTTCTCTAAAATCCTTCTGTAATTTTGTTTCCTTCCTCATAAAATTTTATTTCAAACTTACTGCTGGTGGCTCTGTTATGAAATTTCTCTAAAAAGCCCTTTATTTTTTTTCCTTACGTATTGATTTATGATTATCACTTACTATCACTAGCTTTGTTTATGAGCTACTCTAAAAACCAACGTGTCATGTTTTCTTGCTAATTTGCTGTAGAGAGCTTTACGTTAAAGTTGCCCTAAAATCCTTCCTTCATCTTTATTTTTGCCTAACAATATTTATTGCTACGTTGCTGTGGAGACCTTTGCTTTAGAATTACTTTAAAAGCCTGTTCTCATTTCCTTGCCTGTCAATTTTTAATGCTATAGGGAGCTTTGTTTCAGAATTTCCCTAAAATACTTGGATCTCTTTATTTCATTGCCTGTCATTTTTTATTGCTTTGTTGCTGTAGGGAGCTATGCTTTAGATTTTCATTAAAATCCTTCGTTCTCTTTATTTCATTGCCGGTCATTTTTTATTGTTCGTTGCTGTAGGGAGCTGTGTTTTAGATTTTCCCTAGAATCCTTCGCTCTCTTTATTTAGTTGTCTGTCGATTTTTATTGCTTGGTTGCTGTAGGGAGCTTTGCTTTGGAATTTCCCTAAAATCCATCGCTCTCATTATTTAAATGTCTGTCAATTTTTATTGCTAAGTTGCTGTAGGGAGCTACGCTTCACAATTTCCATAAAATCCTTACCTCTCTTTATTCATTTGTCTTGAATTTTTTTTCTAAATTGCTGTTGGAAGCTAACTTTTAGATTTTCCCTAAAATCTTTGGTTTCTTTATTTCATTGCCTGTCTTTTTTTGAAAAGTTGCTGTAGGGAGCTTTGCTTTGAAATTTGCTAAAAATCCTTGGTTCTTTTTTTTTCATTGCTTGTCAATTTTTATTGCTAAATTGCTGTAGAGAGCTATGCTTCAGAATTTTCTTAAAATCCTTCGCTTTCTTTATTTCATTGCCTGTCATTTTATATTCCCAAGTTGCTGTAGGAGGCTATGCTTCAGAATTTCCCAAAAATCCTTGGCTCTCTTTTTTTCATTGCTTGTCATTTTTTATTGCTAAATTGCTGTATGGAGGTATGATTCAGAATTTTCTTAAAATCCTTCGCTTTCTTCATTTTATTGCCTGTCAATTTTTATTGCTAAGATGCTGTAAGGAGCTTTGTTTCAGACATTCCCTAAAATCCATCTCTCTCTATATTTCAAAGCCTGTCATTTTTTATTGCTTCGTTGCTGGAGGGAGCTATGCTTTAGAATTTCCCTAAGATCCTTGGCTCCATTTATTTCATTGCCTGTCATTTTTTATTCTTTCGTTGCTGATGGGAGCTATGCTTTAGAATTTCTTTAAAAACATCCGCTTTCCTCATTTGATTGACTGCCTTTTTTATCGCTAACTTGCTGTAGGGAGCTATGCTTTAGATTTTCATTAAAATACTTCGTTCTCTTTATTTCATTGCCTGTCATTTTTTATTGCTTTGTTGCTGTAGGGAGCTATGTCTCAGAATTTCCCTAAAATACTTCACTCTTTTTATTTCATTGCCTGTCATTTTTTATTGCTTTGTTGCTGTAGGCAGCTATGCTTTAGAATTTTCTTAAAATCCATGGATCTCTTTATTTCATTGCCTGTCATTTTTTGTTCTTTCGTTGCTGATGGGAGCTATGCTTTAGAATTTCTTTAAAAACATTCGCTTTCCTCATTTGATTGACTGCCTTTTTTATCGCTAACTTGCTGTAGGGAGCTATGCTTTAAATTTTCATTAAAATCCTTCGTTCTCTTTATTTCATTGCCTGTCATTTTTTATTGCTTCGTTGCTGTAGGGAGCTTTGTTTTAGATTTTTCCTAGAATCCTTCGCTCTCTTTATTTAGTTGTCTGTCATGTTTTATTGCTTTGTTGCTGTAGAAGCTTTGCTTTGGAATTTCCCAAATATCCTTGGCTCTCTTTTTTTCATTGCTTGTCATTTTTTATTGCTAAATTGCTGTATGGAGCTATGATTCAGAATTTTCTTAAAATCCTTCGCTTTCTTCATTTTATTGCCTGTCAATTTTTATTGCTAAGATGCTGTAGAGAGCTTTGTTTCAGACATTCCCTAAAATCCATCTCTCTCTATATTTCATTGCCTGTCATTTTTTATTGCTTCGTTGCTGGAGGGAGCTATGCTTTAGAATTTCCCTAAGATCCTTGGCTCTCTTTATTTCATTGCCTGTCATTTTTTATTCTTTCGTTGCTGATGGGAGCTATGCTTTAGAAATTCTTTAAAAACATCCGCTTTCCTCATTTGATTGACTGCCTTTTTTATCGCTAACTTGCTGTAGGGAGCTATGCTTTAGATTTTCATTAAAATACTTCGTTCTCTTTATTTCATTGCCTGTCATTTTTTATTGCTTTGTTGCTGTAGGGAGCTATGTCTCAGAATTTCCCTAAAATACTTCACTCTTTTTATTTCATTGCCTGTCATTTTTTATTGCTTTGTTGCTGTAGGCAGCTATGCTTTAGAATTTTCTTAAAATCCATGGATCTCTTTATTTCATTGCCTGTCATTTTTTGTTCTTTCGTTGCTGATGGGAGCTATGCTTTAGAATTTCTTTAAAAACATCCGCTTTCCTCATTTGATTGACTGCCTTTTTTATCGCTAACTTGCTGTAGGGAGCTATGCTTTAGATTTTCATTAAAATCCTTCGTTCTCTTTATTTCATTGCCTGTCATCTTTTATTGTTTCTTTGCTGTAGGGAGCTATGCTTTAGAGTTTTTTTAAAATCCATGGATCTCTTTATTTCATTGCCTGTCTTTTTTTTGCTAAGTTGCTATTGGGAGTTATGCTTTAGAATTTCCCTAAAATCTTTCGTTCTCTTTTTTTCATTGCTTGTCATTTTTTATTGCTTCGTTGCTGTAGGGAGCTATGCTTTAGAATTTTCCTAAAATCCTTCGTTCTCTTTATTTTATTGCCTGTCATTTTTTGTTGCTTTGTTGCTGTAAGGAGCTATGCTTCAAAATTTATCCAAAATCCTTCGCTCTCTTTTTTTCATTGCTTGTCATTTTTTATTGCTAAATTGCTGTATGGAGCTATGATTCAGAATTTT